TTTTCTTTTTTTTTATAAAATATGTAACTAACATGGAATCTGTAAAAGAAAAGAAGAAATTAAAAAAGACCATCCAAAAATCGAATCTTAAAAACGTGTTCTTATAAGAAAAACTGTCCAAAGCGGAACCGGTTAAAAAAGAGTTGCAAAGTAATGCACTGGGCGACAATTGCCACCGCCAATGACATCGCCGTGTCAAACAGTTGAGTGCATTGCTTGGGTATTAAGGTAGAACTAGTACTGTCGGCAAAAGGTCTAGTTCTACGCTAATTCTAAACTAGTCAGATTTTCTGCAGGGTCAAAGCTATATATGTATGTATGTATATAGGTCTCACGTAAGAAGGGGAGAATATCGCTGCAATACCAATGACGATCATTACGATCGCACTCGACAAACAAATAAAAATGTACACATATTTGTTGCTCGTAATTTTCATAACTGCTCGTTGTTGAGCGCCTGTTTAGTAGTTGCCTCTCCTCTACGCTGCTAGCTCCCTGCAAAAATTGATGATGGAATTTTTGCCGCTGAATTGTTACGTGTTTGTTATTAACTATTTTTTATTATCAGTAATTTACTTTTTAAAGTATAAAAAAGAACCGAAGAGCCAATACATTTCCAAGCACAAGTATAGAATTGTGTTCGTAGATAGGAGTACCTACCCTGCTGTAAAATATATTTTTTAAACGTATGCTGGACTAAATCGATTTGGTAGTAATACAAGTCAGCTATTTATGTACACATATTTAAAGTAAATGTCGGACTCCTTGGCCGATATGTAAGGAGTCGCCACATGACTCACGGCACCTCGTCGCATGCCTCCCAAAACCTCACCCAACTAACGCCCTGTCCGTATAGACAGACCCGGTGGAAGTTGAACACTTCCTGGGCTGGGACCCGAGCGGGCTTTAGTAGCCGCTACCACAACAACTATCGATAAGGAGAGTGATAGAAATATCGTTATTGTTAACATTGTCTATAAATAGTATATCGATGACAATGGGGATAAATAATTGTGTATCGATAATGACTTACCGATAAATACAAACGGTATAACTAGGATAACAGCGCTTCGTTAACATTATTGATAAATAGAATATCAATGGAAATGTAGATAGATACATATATCGATAATGGCATTGGAAAAGATTTTTAAGTTTATTGATAAATAAAAAATATGGAAAACGATATATCGAAAACCGCGCCGATAAACGTAAAACATTGTTGCTAAATGTAGTTTGACCAGTTTTGGTTATATTTCTTTGGTTTATTTAATGTTTAATACTTTTTTATAAAAGTCTAGCTCATTTTATAATAAACTGCGTAAAAATAATTAAAAGTCTTATATCTAACTTATTTATACGTCGATTTGGCTGCTTTTTATAATCTATACTGGCTATGTAAACAGCAAGATTTTTGCCAAAAATGGTCTCGTTAGGTGGCGCCAGGGTCGAGATATTTTAAAAAAGCGTATTTATGCTCTGATTTGTTACAAATTTGGCATGTTTAGTTGAAACGTAGTAGGACATAGATTTGCAAAAAATGGAACCGCTGGTGGCGCTGATGTCAAAATAAAAAGTACGTTCAACATAAAATGCATGTTTTCTTCCCGTTAAAAATTCTTTCAAGAACAATATTAACAAAACTTTTTCCGTGGAAATTTTAGTAACGTAATGCCAGGTAACGTCACGTCAGAAAATTCAGCTGATTAAACATAAAGCAGAAAAGATTTCTACATTTCAAAACTTGGAAAATTAACCTTAAAAATTTCCAATATTACTACAAAAACTTTTATACAAATATGCTTGCCAATTCGCAGAGTTTTGCAATTTTGTAATCGTAGTCAAAATCCACTTACATATATTTTTTGTAACGTCACGCCAGCGCGAAAGTTTACTAGTATCTTTAAATCGCTACTATTATAGTTGTAATACCCATATACAGTGTTGAATATATCATTTTGGACCACATTCAAAATTATATTTTTTCCATCTAAGTTTATTTATTAATTTTAAGGATTTTTCAAATAAAATATTGTAGAACACTGAAAAAAATTCATCCAAACTTCGAAATTTTTTCTCAGTAGTGCTTAACTTTTTTTGAGTATACAGTTTCATAGTCCTTTAAATTTTAATCTTTTAATTTTGGTGCAAATTTGTAAAATTTTTATAATTTTTTTTTTTACAGTTTATTAAATAATGACCTAGACTTTTGTAAAAAAATAAACTAAGGCCTTTCTATTATTTCTTCCACCAGTGTATGTGCATACATACATATGTACGGATAAAATCTGGATAGCCGTTCGATATAGGTAGATACCAACGGTGTTGCTTATGTAGCTAAATGGAAATTTTTACCGCGCTTAGCATTATTTTGCCGCTCGGTAACAAAGAAACGATGCTATGGTCGAAAACTTGAACTACACGTTTTCCTTTAGATCAATCAACAAAAAATTAAAATTCACAATTGTTTGCGAAAAAATAGCACACTTGACAACTTAAGTGATAAGTATGTATGCATTAGCAGACGATTAAGTAATCGCCAATTGCGACATTTCACAATATTTCACCTACTTTTACTCGTCCTCAATGCGGACCGATATGAAGGTGCAAGTAATAGCAGTAGTGGCGATGATGGTACATATTAATGTCATGCACTGGAGCAGTAAAAAATAAATAAACACACAGCGACATACATATGTACGTATGCGCAATAATAAATTGGTGATCTGTGTTGTATGTTATATTGCGTAACCATCAAAAATCAACACATTGATTCACCAGAAAAATAAAGAAAAATAAACACTTGACAAAAGTCGGAAAGGGGGGAGGGGGGTAAAATAAAAACCAGACACACAATTGAAAAATAAATAAATAAACAGCTACGAGCAAATGAACAAACATGCAAAGTACAATTGCATACATAGATCTAAAACCGGACCCAGCTTACTGACATTCGCGAGCAAAGCTTATGCCGGCTCTAAGTGGCATACATATTTACTATATTTATTCGCTTATTCACTAAGAGACTGTCACAACTCAAAAAACGAGATTTTTCAAGAGACGCGTTTGAAGTTTTTTGATTTGCTCGTAAATTTAGAAAAACGATGGACGTATTAGGGGTATTCTCTAAGTCTTGCAAAACCTTTGCACGGTACACGGTTCGCAAAGCTGTCCCATGGTTTAAGTGGATTGTCACTCAGGTGACAAGCAATTAGCAAGTTTGCCATTTTGATTAGCTGTCCCATACAGAAGCCGGCTTTTACCGTGCAGTCTGTGCACCATGCAAGGGCTTTGCAAGACTCAGAGAATACCCCTATTGTCTTCTTACGCGGAAAATACACAAGATTTGCACGAAATTTGTACGCAATATGAAGTCGGATGAAATGAGTATTTCCGCATCATTTATTAAAAAAAAATCAGTTGTTTAGTTAAGTCTTTTTGTAAATGAGCGATATGTACATAGTACATACATATGTACATATGTACAAAAAATCATTGGTAGTTTTTATATTCAATCGCCGGCGCCTAAAAAGGCAAAAAATGAATATTTCAAATTTTGTCCGTTTATCTGTGTTCAAATGTGGTACATACATATGTATGTATATATGTTTGAAAGTTATACCTACATACATATGTATATAAAAAGACGTTGGTTAATACATAATTATAATTATTATTATGTGTGTGCACATGCGCCTTCTATGGCCACATTTATTCACATGGGAGTATCTCGATTTGTGTTTCTAAAGCTCATAGTTATAAGCATATTTTTATGTACATATGTATGTATGTACGTACATGTGTGCAGATGAATGAATGGTCAATTTACTTTTTTTGTTGAAAGAAGAAAAAAACGAAATTGAAAATTTTCAATATTAATTTTTGGCAGTTGCTTTAAAGTGAACTTCTGATTCATCATTATGACGATGATGACATCATAATTTCGCGAACATACCAAATTTTTTT